CGTACAATTCGTTACATATACTTTGCGTATTTTGCGTGCGTTTATGAAACCGGCTTACGAATGCGTCCACTGTTTGTGCCGTTCTTAACCTTTTCTTCATCTTTCGTCTGGTCTGTTGTATCCCAATCGTTTGTATCCTGATAGAAAGAGAACTGCGAAAATCAAAAAGAAAATCAATATAACTTATTTTGTAAATCTATCCCGCTTGTACCTACATATGTGAATTTTTCCTGTAAATATTAGTATAATAGTTTTGTGTATTCATAATTATTCTGTATATACAATTCATTTTTTCTTCTTGTTTTCGTTATTTTCCTATCTTTTTGTTTTAATTTTCATCTCTTTTTTTCTTTTTCAATTATAGAGATTAAAATTGAAAAAATTGCAAATTTTTGTATTTTGCAGATTCACAGAACTCTTTTTAATAAAATTACTGAGTATGGAATTGACCATTTCTGTGAGAATGTCGCAATGAACTATTAAGACAACAGATCTCTGAATTTAATAATGTCTTTTTAAAATTTTTTTCTCAGTCTTTTAGACTGAATGTGTATAGCAAAAAATGGTAAATCAAATATAATGAACAAACGTGTGATTTTTTGCGATGTTTAATATCTATAACGTCAAAGTATGTCTATAACATCGCATACATACATATATTAATATTTTTTACAAGCGATCGTATGTAGGATTTTTTCAATTCTGAACTAATAACCATAAAGGAGTTCGGTCAATTTTTGCTATAAAGCTAATATATAAACGAATCCTCGTTTTGAATATTGTTTCATATTTCTTCGAAATTTATATCAAATTTCGTGGAAGAACCCCAAATATACTTATCCAATTATATATATATAATTATATAATTATATATATATATAAATATTATTTATATATACATATAAATATAAATTAAAAAATGTATACATACTACTACTATTATAGTAGTACGTATATACATGCATACTCACGGGTAAATATGTATGTACGATTTACTTACATACGCAGAATATTTTAAGTAATCATATAGAAATTTCATACATTGCTAATAAAACTGTTTAAGATATCTAATAAAGTTATATTGTATATTCAGTAACATGTGTGCTATTTATGCTAATATGTAGATGCCTGTTAAGTCCTTTTTATGTTACACTATTATTATATTTATGTGCATAGAATATTATATGAGCTATCAAATTCCATATTTTATGTTTCAAATATCTTTGTTTTTTTCTTGTAATTAAACAAATATTTGCTTATTTTGATTTGGTGTTAAATGCTTTAAATAAAAATAAGAAAAAAATAAAGCATTTTTCAGATTTTATTTTCTTGAAGATTTAAATATTCAAACGCCATTAAATAGCTTTCTATTAGACAGAATCTATTAGTCATATAATTTTTACGGTACAAATATTTACTATAAAATCTTTTAAAAAAAACATAACATGTGTAGATTATGTAGATTATGAATTCTTATTCTCTTATTGGATATGTACATGAAGTTTCTAAAATGTAAATTTTGTTTTTTCCCGATTTAAGTATACGAGAAAAAGAATGTATTTAATAAGATTACTTCGCAAATATTTAAAATAAAAATATTTAATATAAAAATAAATATCTTTAAATTTTAGAATAAAGCAACAGATACATGAAAAAATAAATGCATTTTTTAATTAATTTTATTTGTATGTTATGTATCAAGAATGAACAATAGTTATTTTATACATTTTAGTTACACAGAACGAGTTATTAATCAATATTATTATTGATAATACTCTTTTTTAAATATAGACAAAGATAATTTTTAGCTTTGATATATTTATTATATTTGTAGTTTTAAAATGCCAGAGTATGTGTGTATTGAAGTTTGTAACAATACTGTACATTGACACATAATTAGTTTATATTTTGTTACATTAAACATTTTTTTTTAATTGCATTGAAATTAAAGCACTAGTTTGATAATTCATCATCAAAAAATTGCAATTAATGGATTCCTTATAAATGGCTATATCAAAATAAAACATCACAGATAAAGTTCAAAATCCACTCTTGCAGCATTATAAAACTGATTATTTTGACCTTTTCTTCGTACCCAAGCCCCACTTTTGAAATAACCTTCCTTTGCCCATGCATGCATTTGTTCACTTGTATGTGGACCATGAATTTCTGCATTTTCATCTTGTGACCATTTTAATTCCCACATTATTTCTTCTTCTTTATGTTCATTTTCAGAATTATCAATTTCATTAACATTACCTAAAAATAAAATAAATATGATATATATATATATATATATACAATTTAATTTACAATATAATATAATATAATAAAAAATATAATTACCTTCATTTCCATCCAATTTTGCTTTTTCTTTTACATCAAAATCATCAGCATACATATCTAATTCTGCTTCTTGTTTAGAAGGATGAGCATGTTTTTCTCCTATTTCAACCTATAAAAATTACAATAATAAATATGTTAAAAATTTATTATTTCAATTATTATTCTTTTCGTTTTTTATTATTTATTAATCATAAAGCAAATACCTTCTTTTTAATATGTTCATAACTTTCTTGATATATATCCATATTTCCAGTACGAGTTAACAATTCATTTGCCAATTCTGTTAATTTTGTTATGCTAATAGAATTTTGATCATCTTCAATTGATTTCTTTTCTTGTTTTCTTTTCCATCTTTCTGCAGTAGTTAATTTCTTTTTTCCTTTCCCTATAAATATATTAATAATGAAAAATATATTCTTTCAAATAAAATTGAATTAATTGAAAATAGTTACCGAGCCTGCACAAAGCCTTAGAAACAGTTTCTCCAGGTTGTAAGTATTCCAATATTTGTTTATAAATCTGAGTTGGATTGAACATAATATCTGGACCTTCATCCTCACTATCGCTATCTGCCAGTCCATGAGTTTTACCGCTTTCACTTTTCTTCTTTACACTTGCTGTAGAACTCGGTTTGATCTATCAAGATTATGCCTTAGTAATGTTTTGCATCACTGAGTAAACAAGGCAGGTTTACAGATAATTCTATTTGTCTGCTGTATGAAAACATATTCTGATATTTCAATATGCAAAAGTCCAAGAGCAAAGAAAAATTATAAACATTAAAACAAAATTACATTTTATTTTAAATTGTAGGACATCAGAGATTAATTATTAATAAATTTATATTATAATTAAATAAAAATTAATTTTAGTTATATTTCAATTTATTAAGATTAAAATTATTTAATTAATAGATATTACAAACCTGCATCCAATCAATGTTGTCTAACCAATTATCTCTAATTTCTTTTTCTTTATTCCAAAGATAATGACCCTGTTTATCAAAATGTCCTTCTTCTAATTCTTCTTTCATATTGAATGCTGTAAATCCTACATTTGTTTCTGAAGCACTTGGTCCATCTTCAGCACCTAATAATTAAATAAAAAATAGATGTTTAATATTATATTGAATAGTTTTTTTATATTTTTATATACCTTCAATTTCATCGTCACTCATTATATTATAATTGTCTTCGTTAGCATCATCATCTTCTTCATCTGAATCTAATGAGTTTTTTATTGGTGATTTACCAATATTATTGTCTTCTAATTCATCAAATTTACGTTTATACATTGTTATATTTAAAAATAACCAATTAATAGTATAAGTTATCCGTTTATTTTAAGTTATTGTAATAATTTATTATTAACTTTTTTTTTAATATATTCTCATACGATCAGTAAAATTTCTTTTTTAATATAATCTAATATTATTTTATTTCTTCTTATTTAGTTTTCGATTATTATAATATTGTGCTTTTAGATTATTTGTAATAAACAAATTTTTAGAAAAACATTTTAAATAATAAAATTATTTATAAAACTTTCACGTATGTTTAAATTAGGTTAGATTCCGAATAGAGAAAACTGCTATCACAAAGCGTCGCCTAGTTGAACTAAACAGAATTAAAATATGTATGGCTGGATATATGTAATTTGAGTATATTATGCTTTTTATGTAATAGAATTCATATATTTCATTTTTTATTGATTCAGTTAAATTAATTTCATAAAAAAAATGCAATGTATTATTAAAAATAAATACAAATTAAAAACTATTTCTAATAGAATATTAAAAAAATTTAAATATGTATTCAAATTATAATAAATAAATATATAAATGTAAAATAATTTTTCTTTTTAATAAAAGAAAATAAAAATTTTAATGTATTACGTGTTTTAATTGAATCATTTATTTAGAAGATTAAAATTATAATCACAAATTAGATATAGAATAGAATACATTTCATACTTCATTTGTAGTTATGTATATAGATAAAGAGTATAGATAAGAAGAGCAATAATCTGAAGAAAAACAGATACATTAAAAATTATAAAATCAGTGTCATCTCTAAAGTGCTGTAAAAACCAATAGATAAAGAGAGCAAATAATAGGAAAAGGATAAAATATGATAAGAATTGATTGGTAATACCATCTCTTGAATATTAAAAATATTTCTCCGAAAGAATAAAATTAGTAATTAAGAATCAGCGTCATCTCTTGAATATTTGTAGAAAAATGTCTTTTGTATTCAAAAAAATGGCATTGATCGTTAATTCTTACCTGTTTTACCAATGTTTTTGAAAAAATTTCTGATATTAAGAAAATGGCACTGATTTTCAATTTATACTTCATTTTATTTTGCTTTTAAAGAGACGTCTTTAATATTTGAGAAATATTAATTCTTATTCTATATCTAAAGAATCTATATCTATTTTTTTTATACTATTTATTTCCGTGGTTTATATTAGTTTCATTTAACATTCTGAAGATGGCTCTGATTCCCACATTTTTATCCTATTCCTATTCTTTTTTATTTGCTTTTCTTGTCTATACTTAACATACAAAATTTATGTACTGAAGTCCGATATCTAATTAATTTGTTTTCTTTGCCTAAACTAGTGAAAAATTTTAATATAATCTATTTGATTTAATTTAACAATTCTGATTACAGTGTATATAGTACACATATACTTATTTGCTTACTTAGATATATTAATTGATAGCAAATAGTGTTCATATATTGGTTATTATGAAGTGCAAATTATTGGTAAGATTTATAAATGAGATGTAATATTTTTTTATACGCGAAATAGCTATAAAAATGTTTTACATTTATTATTCGTCTTGATCATATGATTAGAAATATTTATAAAATTTTAGGCCATTAATAAATTTTTATTAATGATATATATTATATAAAATAATTAAATAAAATGTATAATAAAAATATGTATTATTATGTACTTAATGTCTATTTTCTTTCACCATTATTAAGAAAACAGTAAGTACAAACTTTTAATATAAACTAAATCAAATTCTTTATTTTTATCAATATTCATTAATAATTATTATTGAATAATGTATATTAATAAATCAGAAATTGTTATATTTTAAAATTTGTTTAAAAACCAAATTTAATATTTATCTCAAAATGTTTACAATTTAAATTTTCCAAAAAAAAGAGAATTATGTTCATTTTTATATCTATTTATAAAAATTTATGATGTAATTATATGCAATTATTGATGTAATTTGAGATAGTTATGAAATACAATAAAATAATGTTGCTATATAATAGGTTATTAATATAAATCTTCCAAGCAGGCCAAAGTTATTTTGGGTATACATTGAAGGTTGGCTGTCAACCTCAGAAATTCTACTTCTTCAATTTAATATATAAAAAAGATTTTGATTAAATTTATTTAAAAATGGACTCGGATTCTACAGAAATGGTGAAAGAAATCAAAGACAAGGTAATATTACATTGGAATTGTCGAGGTCTTGTGGAATTTCCTGAAGCAATAAGAATCTATGGAAGTCATATTCAAGAAATATATTTAAAATGGAATAAAATTACTACCTTACCTTCATGGATTATAGAACTTTTTAATGTTACTAATTTATATGTTTATGGAAATCTGATAAAGGAAGTACCTCCAGAACTTTGTCAAATGAATCAATTAACAGTTCTTGATTTAAGTGCTAATAAATTAGAGCAAATATCCCCTTATATAGGAAATTTAATAAGCTTAAAATCTTTATTACTAAATGAAAATTTTATAGATAAATTACCAAATGGTAAGTTTTTAAAGAAAAATAAAAAAAGTTTCAGAAGTTTATATAATTTTATTTAATGTAAACTTTTACATAATTTTTATAGAAATGAATCAAATGCATAACTTAGAAATTTTATCTATTTCTGGAAATAAATTTGTTGCACTACCAGAATGGATTGGTTCTTTACCTAAATTAAAAGAATTAAATGCAGATAATAATTGTCTTAAAGAACTTCCAAATAGATTAACTTTATCTCCACAGCTGTCAATTATTTCTGTATGTTCTAACAGGTTGTTATATAAATAATCATTATACTTATTTAAATTAATTTATTATTAAATTTTTGTTAACATTTTAAATGCTTTCATTTTATGCAGAATGATTTTTATATAGGCTAAGATATTTACCATTAAATGGATTTGTATCTTCTCCTTGCATTAAATTTGATGCAAATGTATATTTAAATTATTTGTCTTATCCACTTCTTTATCAATTAACATCTCAAATTCAATATTCATTTATTCAAGATCAAAGAAATATTTTGGCTTATGGGTATGTACATACATATTTTATAACGTATGATATATATAATTTAAAACAAAAAATATAATTTTAAAATAATTATTAGAAAAATTTAATGAAATTATTTAAAACAAATTTTTTTATTGCCATTGAATTTATAAATATATATATATATATATATATATATATATATATATATGCATAATCACAGATGCTTTGCAACATGTTATGAAAATACTACATTACATACAAATATTAAATTAAAAATTAAAATAAATGAAAAGGATACTGACTTTATAATAGAATTACCACGTCAGCTTTTAAAAGTTCATAATATACTTGAAAATACAGTTATTTCTTTATGGGAATTATCTTTGAGAAAAGTTTATACCGAAAGGTATTACTTTTTTAGGATTCATATTATTTCTAATATTATAAATATACATTATCTGATATTGAATTTTATTTAAGGTATAAACATACACTTAATATTTCTATATCACCTATAAGCATAAATGTTCAATATGAACCAATTCAAATAAAAAATTGTCAAAAATTTGATTTTAATGTTTCATGTAACTTATTAATGAATGGTCCAATAAGTATTTGTGTAAATTTTCAATGTCAACAACCAATTTTTACAGAAGCTTGGATTATTATTGGTATGAATTATTATGGAGAAGCTATAACAACAGTTGCATTATGTTGCTGTAAAAGGTAAGATAAATACTACATATAGATCTATGTATAATATCAGACTTAATTTTTCAGATGTGCAGCTGAATTCTCAAAACATTCTAATATGACAGTTAGACATACTTGGTACTGTATAAATTAATAATATTATTTAGAAAATAATCCTGTAAATATATTACATTAAAAAAATAAGAATTTAATGTTTTCAAATTAGACTAAAAATCTTTGTATCTTTTACAATATTTCTGAGTAATATTTAATATATATAAGTATTAAATCATTTACATATTATTTTATCTTACAATGGCTGGTATTTTAAATTTTTATCACAATATTCATATCACGATGCTATCTTCAAAATAATCATCTCTTTTTATAATTAATTTTAAATTTTTTTACATATTAAGTAAATTTATTCTTTTTGTAAAAAATTTTAACAATTATTTTTTATATAATTTTAAATTTAAGTTATAAGAAAATCTAAAGCTCTATCGCGATCAATATTACATTTTAAAAGTGCAACGGATGCCTTTTCTTCAGGAAACCCTAAATCTCTTAAAATACATAAATTTTCATAATACACTTTGGCTTTCTCTTGATTATATTCTGTAAGGGCAAGAGCTTTCTCAGCATCTTCTCCAGAAATTCCCATTTCTTCTAAAGCTTGAACAGCTAATAAGTATTCTACAATTTTTTTATTATCTTGACCACCTAAATCGCGTATAGCACGAGCAGCTCTCGATAAAGGAAATCCCATATCGCTTAAATGCCGAGCCAATTTTTTATCTTCCTCTGTCAAATCTAATAATAGATTCATAAGAGCAACTTGATTTGTTACCATTACTTTTTCTTGCTTTAATGTGTCATGACTACTAGTGTCGGGATTTCCTAAATTTGGCCAAGGTTTCCAATCCTAATATAGAAATAATTAATAAAATATAAAATAATTTAAAATTTAAAATCATATATTTATTAATATATTATTTGTATAAAAAAAAATATTACTTCCATATGAGGTCTTTTTAAATCTCTTTGAAGTTCTTGTACAATTGCAGATACACTACGATGCTTCATATTTTCTTGTTCATTAATTTCATCCTGATCAGTTATTTCATTCTTGATATCATTTTTTTCTTGTATGTGAGACTTTGATTCATCATTAATTGTTAAATCATTTAACAAATTTTCTAATTTTGCTGATGGCATCCATTGAGATGTAGGTTGTAATACCTAGAATGTTAAAAAAAGGAAATATTAAATTTATTATTACTACTTAATTATGATGTAAGATATTTTATTAACCTGAGCAAGTTCTTCCATTTCATTAATTGTTTTTAATTCCAAATTGTCAAATGGACTGCTTGTATCATTATCAAAATCAGCAAAATCAAGACCATTTACTTTTATATGATCTTGAAGATCATTTGCAGGTGGAGATAAAGGCTGTGGAGTAAGAATTGTTGTTTCAGGCACAGGTGCATTTATAGGCTTTGTAATATCAGGCAAAGGAGGTGGTGGTGGAGGTGAAAATTCATTTTTTTGTTTTTTTCTTTTCTCATCTAATCGTGCATGTCGTGCTTTGCTATTTGCTTGTCTAACATTACGCCATTCTGTCATCTATAAATCAAATTATAGTTAATTTATTTTAATGAATATAAAAGATTATATTTGAATTAAATATATTCTAATATTTTTTTATGTTAAAATGAATTAATTTACATGCATTGTAAAATATAATTTATTTTCAATTTAATTTATATCTCTTACAAATTAAAGTATTACACAACCTTTTCAAGTACTGATTTTTCCAAATTGAAGTCATAATTTAATTTCGATACGTCTGGTAACTTATTATTATATGCAGCTGGTAAACATATTTTTCTTGGAGGTTTATAGGCTTCTGCAATTTTAACATGAACTCCATCCATATATGATGCAATTAAATCACATTGTGCTGATACTGAGGAACGAGCCATATTTCAATATTTATTATTTAAAAAAATAATAAATTATTAAAATATATTTCAAGTCACTATGAATTAAACTTGTATCATAACCTCATGTCATTGTATTCCGTTTATATTTATATAATAGAACTACTTCTTATGATTAATACTGTATACTTCCAAAATATACATAGAAAATGACATATTTTTTATTATCAATAACTATTAAGTATATTGTTTTGTATTTGACAGCTTTTGATGATTTAAACTTCTAACCTTTAAAGTAGCCATATTGAATTTTCTAAATAAATATAATCGATTGAAAAAAGAATCGATAAAATTTAATTTTTCAAAAATAAAGTACATAATTTTAAAATTAAAATATGAAAATCTCTATTTTAATGAAACAATGATTATTTAAAAATTATTTATTTTTATTTATTAATAACAAGTATTTATTAATAACATCACAATAAATGTCATTTGTGTTAATAACATCACAATAAATGTCAAATTTAACAATAAAATCAATTCTTATATACTTTCTTAATTTTGAACTGTTATAAATTTTTAATTTTATTTATTACAATATAAATCTACAACTATATATATCACATAGATTTTTAATTTATTTTATACTGTAGATGAACAAAAAATAAATGATCTTATTATTCAGTATAATTTTTCATACATATATATATATATACATATATACATATTTATATAAAATATATATATGTAATAATATATATATATATATATATATATACGTAAATTGATTAATTGAGCTAAATAATTTTCCTACTTCCTATAAGATAAATATCTTTATCTTATAATAGATACTCTTTTATTTTTGTCTTCTACTTGATTAGTAGATTGAATTTTAATGTGACCTTTGTGTTTGAAATTATTGTCATCTTTTATATCATTTTGACTTGTTTTTGCATTTAATGCTTTCATATATGCAAGAAAAGATGTCCAAATTAAACTACAACAACTTACATAAACTACACGATTATGTTCTGGGATAAAAAAAAAGTTGACTGTTTGTAAAATAGGCCATACACAAACACCAATCTGAAAAATAATAATTACTTGGAATTTTTTTTATTATTTGTAATGATTACATATTTTATATTAATTATATTACATATTTTATATTATCATATCAATCATAAATACTTACTTTATAAGTAGGCCAAAATTTATGTTTAACTTCTTCAATGCATTCAGTTATTGGTTTCATTTCAAGTAAGTTTATACCAAAAAAGAAGCAGCACATTGCAGTTGGAGTATATGTCACTTGTTCTACTAAAGCCTATAAAATAAATATAATTAACCATTAATATTATGATTGGCATATAGTAATTATTTAGTTAATTTTAATATACTTTGGTAATTGCAGACTTCAGGTCTGATTTTGGCCAAAAGTATGAAGAGCACCTTAACCAACAATATAGTGTTGGAGCTACAAAAAATCCACCATATAAACTAAATCTTAAGGCTTGTAAATAATTTAATTCATCATATCCTGCTAGTTTTTGTTGTATTAAACTTCCTGTCGGCCATATGACAGTATAAGAAGCCATTCCTCTTACAATTGGATATTTTTGCGATACTTCGCGAACTTTTATAAAAATAATACGCATTTTCACAGCGGTCACTGAAATATAAACAATTTTAATTATTAATAAACATTATTATTAAATAATTTTAATTATAAACAATTATAAAATCGAAACGATAATTGGGTAAATTAAATGAAACTTTAAACCTGAATAATTAAATAAAAAATTAAAACTACTATTATTTAGAATGTATTTGTGTTAGCATATATACTACATCATTATGCAATTTATGTTCATATTAGTTTGTTCCGAAGAATTTTATAAATTTCATGTTTTCTTTGTCACGGCACGTGACAAATCAATTCATAATGAATGATGCTACGCGCCAAACAAAAGAGTGCGTATAATCAATGTTTCAGAAATAGAGAAGTTGTTTTTTCTATATATATAAATTTAAAAAAATGTAATTAAAAATAATTTTTAATTAAACTATCATCAATTATATTATTTAATTTATTTTAAGTATATTAATAAGCTCAAAAATAATAATATCACTAAAATTTAGAATATAATAATAGTTTCAAAAAACATATATATATATATAAATTATTTTTTTATTTATTTTTCTCATGTATCGTACCTTTCTTTGATAAGATGTCGAAAAGTTGATAATATTACCGCGGTTTATTTGAATGTGACGCGAGGAAACTCGCTGTACCGCGAATTTATGAAAAATAACAGTTCTATAAGATTGACACATCTGGAAATGATTCACTACTACGGAAACATGCACATACTGGCAATCGTCGAGACCAAACTTATATTCGTCACGCGCAAAAGTACTAATGATGACGAAACTGGTCGATCCATTCTTATCTGTCCTTGGTAATTTCGTATCTTTCTAGTTCACTTTTCCGATACTTTGATATATCATATAAATGATTACGTATCATCTTATGAATAAATGTTATCGATAACGAAATGTAATTAGTGTAATCAAAATTGTTGATCTCAATAGAATTAAAATGAAAAGTGAATATCAAGAATAATTTTTAATTTTTAATTTAAAAAGGGATGTGAAAAAATTAGAAATAAAAACATTAGTAAATTAAATTTTCTATAATTATATGGGACGTATATAATAACATTTAAACATGACTTTATTATAAAGTAAATTATAGATTTTCTCTTGGTCTTTTTAATTGTACCTTCTTTCCATTTAAATTTATTTTGCTTAAATAATTATAATATTCACAAACTTAATTAGTTTAGTCATTGAATGCAGTAACAAACATGAAATAACATGAAAAGAGCATTATAAAAAGAGTACAAATATATGTACTCATTTACAATAAATCTTATAAAAGATTTTTTAAAAAATCAAATTTACACAATTATATATAATATACATTTTATATTGTCTCAAATAATTTTTATCTAAACAAATATGTAAAAAAGATTACGCATTTTAATAAAACATATACAAGATTATAAAAACAATGTTAATTTGAATCTAACATATTATTGATAAAATATTTACTTCTTTAATAGATTTTTTTTCATATGCAATCACTATAAATAAAAACACAATTTGTGAGCATACAAAGATAAAGTTTGTAAATAAATTTAGAAATAAATCATATTGAAATTATATAGAATTTGTCAAAATGTTATCATTTAATTAAATAAAAATCCAACAAAAGTGATTGTTATAAACATTTTTTTCTATAATTTGTTTTCTTTTTTTTATTTTCTACTAATAAAAAAATACTGCATATATTCAATGATCATTATCCATATCCATTCTTTAAAATTATATACATACAACAGCCTTCAGAAATTGTCAACAAATTTTTTGCAATTTTGCACATTATTGGCACAGTGTGAACCATCCAATCATTTAAACTATACAACTTGTTACTCATTTTGCTGTAATATCAAATAAGTCACAAATTCCTTCATTTTCACTAAGATTAAAGTGATAATCTTTCTCACTAGGTGGAGGACTTAATCTTACTAGTGGTCCATAAACTGAAAGTGAAATTTATGAAATTATACGAATATTTGTTATTATTTATTTCATTTTAATGTTATTATTAATTTTTTACTTACTATCAGAATAAATTTGATCAAATAATTCTAAATCTTTTTGAGCAATATCTGAAATCATAATATTTAATTCAATAAAATATTTTCCATTATATTTATCCTATGATATTTACCTGATGTACTAACATCTCGTAGTACTATTTTTGCCTCTATCAATTCTGCATCATCTTCTTCATCTTCATCAGATATAACAGGATCAGGTTTACTGATTCCTTTTGGAGGCCTAAAAGTGAATGAACTTTATATTTAAATTATAATTATTAATTAATTTATTTTGATAAACAATATACAGATATATATCATAAATGTAAGATCTACACCAAAAGAATAGATTTTTGCTTGATATCTATTCACCCCAATGAAGATCATTTTAGTTTATGCTCTTTGCAAGTCAAAAATATTGTTTTACTATTTTTGATGCGAATAGAGCAAACTTTTTTTATAAATTTATTTTTACCTTCCAACTCTTCTTTTTGGTTTAACATTAGCTTCTTCCTTTTTTTCTTCTTCTTCTTTTCCTCTTTTTGTACCTTTCATTTCTTCTTGTAATCTCATTTCTAATATTTTACTATCATATGTTTTAGCTAACTCTGGTTGAATCATATATACTTTAATTTCTCCTGAAGTACTTTTTAGGAACATTTCATAATTTATTTCTTTGTCATCTTCTTCAGATGTCTAATATATAATATATATAATAAAATTTATTTATTTTACATTATTTAATAAAATTATTCAAATATAAATTTCTTTGAGATTAATACCTGGGTTGTTACATATTTGTTATATGTTGGCACACTTAATTCTGTATCAGGAGGAGCTTGAATTCCTAACACAAAATCATCTGTAAAATTTTCTTTAACATCTTCATAAGTAATATATGCATGCTTTCTATTAATCAAATCATTTTCTATATTTTTTATACTTTGTTGAATCCATTGAGTATGTTTATCTAATAATTGTTCATGATCTTCTAATTTCCTTATTTCATCTTTTAAGTCAGTTAATTTTTCACCAACTTCTTGAGTGTTACAACCTGGACCTGCTCCTCTGATGATATATTTAAAAAATTACATGAAACATATAAAAGTAGACTTATAAGATATTAGAAATAAAATATTAGATATTAGAATTAAAATATATAAAATATTTTATAAATAATAAACACAATGTAAACATACTTCCATTGAATACTGTTTTTACTTTTCTTTTCAATGAGTCCAATACCTTCAAGTACGTTAGTAATATCATAAATTCGTCTTTTTTGTCGAACTTCTAAAATATCAGCCGCCTACAACATTATAAATTTATTATTATATGTTATCAAATATAATCGACTTATAGATTCTATTTTTTAGGTTATGTAGGATAGCACATTGAGATATAAAAATTTATAATATATAGATTATATAATGTTAAATAAAAATAATTTACGATGTAGAAGTAATTTTTATTAAAAAAATATTGCAAAAAAATTTGAAATATTAATTTTACTGATTACTTATTTTAAAATTCCCGCAAGCTAGAAATGGCGTGTACGCCCGCGACAACTTAACCTAGCAAGTAGGTTAAGTTTTTATACACGAATTCTTATGAAAATACTTACTACTTTTAAATCAAGAACGCCGTCTTTTGCTTTCTGTAATAAAGTGACAAAACGAGTCGTTAAAAGACCAAGAGACTTTTCAAATCTACTTTGTTGATTATCTGCCATTCTCGAGGTCGTTGTCAAAATTTTCAAAACTCACTATTCCCTTCGAAATTGCCGCAACACCACAGACGCCATCCTAGTATGGCGCAAAAAGTATTTAAATATGAGCGCGTCTCTAGTGTCGACGTAATATTAAAAAATATTATTTCGTTTAAATGATTTTATTATCATACTAAAATATTATTATTATCAAATTGTATTTTTATTTAAATTATTCTTTAATTTTAAATAAAATAAACTAACAATTTTTATTTAAATATATTTTTTATTACATTTATAAACTCATTTAATTCACTTTTTTTAATTTTAATGCTTATATAATAACCAATTTATCAATATTATTCTTTAATATAAAAAAAAAAAGATTAAATCATCCATAGTAAATACAATATGTAAGAAAAAAAGTTTTATCTTAAATATTTTATTTAACAAAATAAAAGAAAATATTTTTTGTATAATATATTTATAAATGTATTTACAATTTTCGATGATTAATTTTATGATTGATGATGTAATATATCTTAAATTATATAAAAATTATATTATAAACAATGCTAGTTTTGAAAACTGATGATGAAATGATTTATATTATGGAAAAATAAATTCGTTAGTAACAGTTGTTGCATCTGGACTAAGACTGGAACTTGCTGAGCTTAAAGTTTCTTCTTTGATTTTTAAATTTGAAGAATCTTTAGTTTTATCTTTTTCTTTATCTTTCTCCTTCTCTTTAACTTTCTCTTTGTCTTTTTCTTTTTTCTCTTTATCTTTACCATGTTTATGGTCATGTTTATGTTTATGTTTATGCTTATGTTTCTTTTTATCTTTTTTCTTTTTCTTATTCTACAAAATAAATATATATATATAAATAAATATAAATATATATGGCATATATATTTAGTGTATAGTAGTAACTTACTTTATTAACAGAATCACTTTTTTGTTTATGTTCTTCTTCTTTTTTAAACATTCCTGGTTCAAACCCTACTGGTCCTGGTGTTCCCATAATACCAGGTAATGATGCAGAATTATCGCTATAATATTCTGATTTTACTTTTCCATCACTGGTTACAGAAGGAGTTCGATCATCCTTTTCAACATACAAATATAATTATAATTTTAAAATTATAAAATAGCATTAAATTTTATATATTCTTTAATTTTATTTTTTTCTAAAATTTTTATCTATATTTCTAATATTTTTATATTTCATGTTACCAGTTTTTGGCGCTTCATTTCTGGAGTATAATCTACCGAATTGGAAGGGCCTGGAATATCTGTATTTGGAGAAAGTTTTTTTTTACCTACTCCACTTGAATTTTCAGTTTCCATTACTGATGATTCATGTTTTATATGCGATATGTTTGGTTTAATCTAAAATCAAAAAAATTAAAATTAAATAAATAAAATAATAAAATAATTTATATTATAATTATATAAAATTAAATCGTTTTAGATATATATAATTTACATCTTGTTCAGGACTTGAAGGTCCTTTTCTTGGTTTAGTAATAGCAGCAAGTTCAGGAATAGGAAGACAAAATGGTCGTTTTGACCCATACAAAGTATAATATAAATCAACTAAGTCGCATCGAATTTTAGGATCATGAGAGAGCATACCACTGTAAAAGTTTCTATTAAATTTATACTGTAAAGAAAATTAAAATAAATAACAATTCAAATTGAACATACTTAATTAAATTCCATATACGATCGACCAATTCAGGACGATCTAAACGATGCTTATGCGCTCTTTCAAATGGTGGATTTTCAACCATAAGTCTGACTAATCTATGTCGTACTCCAGGATGAGGGTCCATTTCTATCATATCTAATAAAAATTCTAAATCTTCCCATTTGCCATCTACTCTAGTAAAATCAACTAATGCTTCTAAAGCTGCAATTCTAACATCTATACCGATAATTATAAAAATATATAAATATTTGCTTGTATTATAAATATTTTAAACATAAAACATTTTATATACCGATAAATTGTCCATATGCAGCATATGCTCTGAACAGATGAGGATTGCTAGGAAGATGGCCAAACTTTTGTAAAATACGTATAACTTTAAGACAAGAAACACTGACTGTGTATTTATAACATGGTAATAATTTTTCTAAATTTAAATTTCGTGTAACTTCCTCTAATATAGCTCTAGTATCAACTGATAAAGATTCGGCAGTAATAGCTGTTCTAAAGAAAGATATTAATATATAATTACAAAATTATAATTGATTTTTTACTTCAATATTCATTATACCCTTGTTGCACGCTAATTACAGGTGTAACAGTAGCTCCAAGAGCTTCAATTAGTGCAGCTCTATAATAATTATCTGAATATCTGTTTTTACTGTTATCATTATATTTAAATAAATCCATTAAAAAAGCTAAAACTTCTGGTGGACATATACCATGAGCATTACGTAAACCAGCCATTGCTACTGGTATAGTCTAAAATCATAAAAAGAAATGTATAAAAATATATAATATAATATATTAATATATATATTAATAATTAATTTGTATTGAAAAAATATTAAACCTTTTGTAAAAAATAGTGTTGAAAATTTGTAAAATTATTTTGTTTAATTATTCGTCTACACGAAGCCGATCCAAATAATTTTCGAAATATAGCTAACATTGCTGGTGGACCTGCCCATGTTGCAACCATTGCATTAGCTACCTATACAATTATTATTGATATAAATAAACTACATATAATATAATATAAATCAATATTATAAATACATATAAATAAAATTATAAATACATATAATATAAATCAATATTAAAAATATATATATAACCTTTGTTAAACAATGTGCAGCTCGTAATCTAACTTTATAGTAACAATGTTCATTTTCTATAGTATCAGTTAATGCTAATCGTGTAGCGGGTGTTGCGTGATTCTGTAAAGCTTCAATAGCTTCTAATTGTGCTGTAACATCTCTTTCATGTCTTAATTGATATTGCCATTGATAATCAGGTTGTTCAACTTGGACAGCACGCAAAAGTGTCATTTCAGGATCTAATCTTATCCACAACACGGGAGAATCACTATAAAGAAAGTATACAATTTATTATTTTTCATATAATTATATATCTTTTCAATTTAAAATAATTTAAAAATAAAAAATAGTTTATTTTTAAGCATTATAGTTTTAAGAAATTACAGTTTCACATTAAAATAGTACCTACTCCATAGCGGAAAGATCCATATCTACTTCTTCTCCTGTACATAGTGGAATTTTTTTCTTTTTATTTCTACGACTTTTACTGTGACATGTTATGTCTGCTTTTGCCACAGTACCTTCAATTTGTAAAGTATGTTTAAAAGTACCATCTAATTCTTGAATATTAACTAAAAGTGGACCAACATATTTTCTAATTCCTCTTTGATTTGTAGTTTCTTGTCGAATTTCTAATTCTACAGTATTCCTGTGTAATATGATTTAAATTAATAAAGAATTAATTTAATTTAAATTAATTTTCAATTATAATTTAAAATATTATATTATTATAAATTTATTTAAAATATTATAAATTTAAAATAAATTTAAAATAATATATTTATTAAAAATTTTCTAATTTTTATGAATACCTTTTTCTATTAAATATAAAACTTAAACTAAATTTTGCATGTCCACCTGTTCTAACCCATTGATCTATAAAAACTGCCATATCTTTACCAGTTACAGTAAAAATTGCTTTTGTAAATACGTTTGTACTAATTAACATATGGGACCAAAGTCCTGAATCAATTTTTTGTTGTGCAGCATTGGCAGCAAGAGATAATTGTTTGTTAAAAACCTGAAAAATAATAAAATAAATTTTAATTTATTTAAAATAAAAATAAAGATAACATAATATTTGTAGAAATGTATACTTGTAAAAGTAATTCTTGTCCAATTCGATGTTCTAACATTCTAATAACTAAGTGTGCTTTTTTACGAAGCACTTCAATATACTTTGGAGACATTGTATGCAAATTTCTTATTGGAAAATAAAATCCAGGATCTGGAGCTCTAGGTGTAGGTGCTGGTGTATTTGCTGCAATTGGTAAAGGAGCTGGTGGTTGAGAAGGATCTAATATTATACCCCCAAATTGTTCTTCATATTTTACAACTTCTTGTAATTCCTAGAATTATTGTTAAAAATAAATTTTTATTAAAACTGTATCTATAACTACATTTAATATATATCAATAAAAAGGAAATTTTATATACCGATTGTATCCATTCTCTATATTCATTATTTCCAAAACATTTTTTTGCATATAAACCAGTAAGATATGTTGAAATACCTTTAGGTAACCATGTGTCAGACCAATTTTGCATGGATATAAAACAACCAAAAAATTGTTCTGCAACAGCTTGTGCCATAGCTTTTTTTGTAATATAGACTTGATCAATAATTGCAGTTGAATGTAATAAATTTGTACTATAAATAAATGAATAAATATTAAATTTATAATATCATTGTATTTGTATTTAATGTTAAAATTATTTAATAAAATTTCTTACTTTAAAATACTCATAGTAGCATAAGCATTTATATCTTCATCTAACTCATCTACAAAAACTTGTTTATAACAAGAATAAGGATATCTATTTGACAATGTTTCTTCATAAAATTCAAATGCTTCATGCATATACTTTGCAGAAACTTTTAAAGATGGTAGTAATTGTGGCAAACAAAAATGTGTTACTTCATGCATATATGGATCAACAAATATTTCAAATGGTCTAAAAGAAAATAACAATATTATTATATTTATATAAACATAAAATCTTATTTCTTTTTATTTAAATAAAATTCAAATAACTTACCCAACTGCAAGTGCAATATTTGGTGCACATGCTGGTGTATTAAGAACATAATGAAAAGTTTTTCTACGCATATCTGGAGTATATACAACTTCTACAAGATCACCACAAGATACAGCAGTCATAGAATCATCTACAGTAAATTCTAATTTCCAAGTACATGGTTCTGCGAAGCTATCAACACATGGAAACCATAATCTTGAAGAATTCTCATAACTATATGTATACATATGAGCACCTCTCTATAAAAAAATATTTTATTGCAAATTGGCAAAATAATTTTTTATATTATTATAAATTTACTATACCTCTGCTAATGTTCCTTCACAATTTGGCACTACAAAATGGACTCCACCTTGAGGTTGTTCTAAAGAGAATTCAATACTAATTCTTAAACTTCTACCTTCAGCAACTAAATGTGCAGCATCTGGAGGAATTTGTACAACTAATTCTCCTGCATTATTATCTGGATCAACCCTTTGTGCAGCTGCTAAATGCATATTTGAAAAAAATTCTAATGATCGTCTGAAAAAATGCCATATAAATAAATAATATTGTTTTAATTAAATATTTATTATATTTATTAAATTGAACTTATATAAATTTAAATACTTACTGTTTGCCATCTCCTTGACAAATATCTAAAAATGGATCAAAATATTGAAATGGTGCTTCATAAGTATCATTTAAACACACTCTATAAATTCTACATTGTTTTGCATTTAATTTCACAAGTCTTAATGTATCTCTAAGTGGAACAATTGTTAATTCTACAAATCCCTGCACATAAAAAATATATTTTGTAAAATAAAAATTAGTAATTTTTCAAATATTAGAAATTATTTTACTTACAATAATACTCTTTCTTTGGAAACTTATACCTGTGAGACTCAATATTTGATGAGCCGTATGATAAAAAGAAATATTAAATAATAATTAATAAAATTAATGAACAAGATAAAAAATTAAATAAATTTTTTATTATTATAAAGAAATTACAACTTAATATCATAAAATTGTAAAAATTGCAGCTACAGAGTTTTGTAAACATAACCTTAATATCATAATATAAAAGTTAAATAATACGTTAATAAATTTCTTCGGATATATTTTATAATAAATTATTGAAATAAATTAAAGAGAAAAAGTATAAAATTACATAAAATTTTGTTTATTAAAATCTTAAATATACTTGATAAATTTTGTTTACATTATAAAATTCTAAAAGATACTTATAATTTATATGGTCGACTATTATCGGCCGTTTTTTCTTTCTTCATGTTTTCATTTATATATTTCCACTTTTGCTTAACAATATATATTTATTTATATATTTTATCAAATTTAATTTCATACGTAAATATTTTTGACATTTTAATGCCTTTAGATCACTATTTTCATGTATATAATATAGAAATGGATATAGAAACAAAATGGTTAATTTTTCTATGTAGTTATTGGTTGGTAACAATTATAAGTTTAAGTTAAGAGAGCGCTGTTGTTCTTGGAGCTAAAGTTTGGTAAAATAAGATTATTGTAGTGAAAACTATTATATTAACCAATGATTGTAAAGTATTAAAAATTTGTGGCTTGTAATTGTTTTTGTCAAAAAGTTGTTATTTTTAATTTTTCTTCTGTCATAATAAATAACTATATATGATGCATAAATTTCGTTACAATTTATAGTATTAATTTTAAATTTTGGAAACAACGTGAATGTTCCGTCTTCATTTAGATCTTAACAACTTTATTAAAGTCTTCAAATATTAAAGATTTAGAGCATATATGGATATGCTAAATATGTTATACTTTTAAAAATTTTTTATCTAATGATCTCAATTAATTATCAATTATGACTATAAGTAACTAATATCTTTAAGTAATTCATAAATATATACGCATTTAAATTTTACAAATGGACAAAACACAATCTGCAACAATGTAAGTTTTTCGAATTAATAATTATTTCTAGAGATATTATTTTTATATATAAAATAAACTTACTTAAAATAACTTATATATAAAAATATTTGTTTATTAGTATTTTCTTAATTTTCAATAATTTAATGTTTTATAAACTTATATATTTGAGCATTACTTAGTAGTTAATGATATAAATTTCTTTTATAAAAATAACATAAAGTATTTTATTAAAAAGTTAAATTACTATCATATTTTACAGAATAGAAACACATGATACAATCGATACTAATTTGCCTGCAGTAATGGCAGGCTTAGAGATGCTCACAGTAACTACAAATTTACCATCTTCAGAGAATAAAAGGATATGCAAAAAAAGAATACTTAAAGATGAGTCTAATGAGATTCTTAATAGAAGGTATAAAATATTTTATAATATTATGTAATCTTTTTTCATAACTGAATCTTAATTTTATTAAATAATTTATATACATATATACATATTAGATGCAGTTTAAGACCAAGAAAAAGAACATATACAGAAGTGGAAGATAATAATACAAAAAATAAAGTACAAACAGAAGAAATTGATTGTAAAGAATATTATTTAAACAAAAATTTAAAAAGAAAGTTAAATAATTTGGAAACAATTTATGAAGAAAAAGATGGTACAAATGAATGTATTACATATATGAGTGTGAAAAGATATAAACGAATGATACAATTTCAAGAAAAACCTACTGATCAGAAATTGAAGAAGAGAAGAGCAAAAATTAAAAGAGTATTTGGATCAAAAATTAATTTTAAACGAAAATGTGCTTCAATGCAGATGTTGCTTGATAAATTGAGTGGTATTATAGGAGAATCACCTACAAAAATTGATAATGACCAAAGTGAGAAAGTGTAAAAATACTAAAATGTATTATATTATAAATTTTTTATAATTAAAATAGAATATTGTGTTAGAAGAAATTATCTTTCTTTCTTAATGTAAATTTATGATTTATTAATAAAAATATTTTTTAAATTTTTATGTATATAATTATTAGAAAATAATTAGAAAATAATAAAAAAAGAAATACTTAATAATAATAACAATTTATAAATTGAAATAATGAAATAATGAAAGAACTTCAAGAAAATATATATTTTGTATTCAATGAATTAATATTTAAAGTTATAGTTTTATAATAAAATAAAAACAATCAAATGACATATTTATAAAAAAATATACTATAATAGAATATTATATACTAGAATAACTATGCTAAAATAATTAAAATTTTATTTGAATCAATATACATGATGAATTAATATTATTTTTGAAAAATTTTTATATTTATACTTTTTTATTATATTTTTTATTATATACATATTTAATTATAATTATTAATTTACTCATTTATGCATTTACTCATAACAATTTTATATATTACAAAATATTATTTTTTTTATCATTTATCAATATAAAATATTAGTTAAAAATAGAATAAATCTAGATAATATAAAATTTTATGAATTTCTGAATTGTATATAATAAAAAAGACTGAAGATATAAAAAAATAATATTATTTATTTAAAACAAATGTCTATTTAAAATTATATATATTTTAAAAATAAGTGCAATAATTATATTCTTCCTATAAATATAAATATTTATATATATATTATGCTATTTTATATTATAAATTGTTTACAATGTATTTCAGTATTATATAAAAATATATAAAAATTATTACTTACAATTATTTACAATTTTATTTAGAAAGAATAGAAAAACAATAAAATTAAATAATTATTTACAGAATTAAGAAAATAGAATTATAAAAGTATAAATATTAAAATTATGTTGTTATTAACTATGATATGTTTTTTATTAATCTTTTGTTTTCACAGCACATTTTATTGAAGATTTTGGACATTGAGGATATTCTCTAAGCATACCCTTGAACTCTTTATATTCTTTGCTATCAAGTTTTACACAAGCACATCTATATTCTTTAGAATTTGGAGATTCAAATAGCATTCTTGGAACACCAATCCAATTTCTTTCTATTCCGCCACTAAAAAAAAAAATTAATTTTAATTATAAATAATATTTTTTATATATTTTTATTATATTTACCTTTTTTTAGTACACCATACAACTGTTCCAGAATCTGGTTTCCATTCTATATTACATGGAGGAAACATTTGTTTTTTATGTATTTCTTCAAATTGCTTCTCTTTTGCTTCTATTAATATTTTTTGCACATTATAAAATTCTTTAGTTGGGGAACCATCTTTGTTATAATATTTACCATTTAATTTTCCTATAAAAAAAAAGTTTTTTAATTGTGCTTTTTAATTTAAGAAATATTTAATTTATTTTTAAATACCTTTGTAAATATAATTTTTATTATAAAATTGAACCCAATCATTTAATGCTTTGACTTGCTGAATAGATAACGAGGAGATATCATCTATCAAGTTATTATCATTAAATTCTCCAGTAATAAAGGCTAAAGATGCATCACGTCCTAAATATATAAATAACATATGTAATAATGTATATATATATTTATAAATATAATGATAAATGCAGTTTCAATGTAGATTATACCAGTAAATGCATGATATGTTGCACCAGGTCCATAATGTTTTGCACCTTTTGTGACATCAAAAACATTACCTAATATAGAAATATATAAACCATCTTCCAGATTTGTATATTTCTTAAGTTCACTTGATGTAAATACTTTTTGATTTATATCTAAATTTGATTTTATATTTAATTTTCTATCAAGATTAGAATAAATAGTTTTAGTAATATTTAACCATTTATTCATAAAATTAAATGTAATATCATTCAAATAATCATTTGAATATAATAAAATAGATACAAATAATGGCAATAACCAAATATATTTAGAAAACATAATTTTAAATAAATTTATTAATAACTTAGTTTTCTTGAAAAATAGATGTTATTTATGCTGTAAATAAAAAAATATAATGATAAAAAAATGAGAAATGGAAAAATTAATATAAATATTATTTTATGCAATAAATATAATGCAATTGAAATGATCATTAAGAACTTAAAAAACTTTTAATGATTGTATTATTATATAAATAATTATTATATTTATTCATACCTTTTTATTCTTATGAAGAAAGGATGAATCAAAAATATTATATATAATATATACAAAAAAATTGAAAAATATTTTTGATTTCACTTTATGATTTGATAATAATAGAGATTTTAAATAATTTGATAAATTATATAACTAATGCATTATCATAATTATCTTTTAATATTATTAAAAATTCAATATTTTATAGAAATAGACTAACTTTCTGAAAGTACGTAAATGTATACATTTAAACATTTATACTTGTTGATTGTATCTTAAATGATTTTCTATATAGTAGATACCAAAAAAAATTCACTTTAAAATATTATTTAATTAAAATATTACTTGTTATATTGAAAATTTTTTTTAATGTAAAAACATGAAATATGTATTTACATTAAATCAAAAAAATATTAAAGAAAAAATTATAAAGAATTATATAAATATATTAAAGTAGAAATTACATTTATTTTTAAGATCATTGAGGATTAATTCTATTCTAGGATATATATATATATATATATATATATATATATATATATAAGCAAAGGAGTTCTATCTTACAGAAAAAAATTATTATCGGAAAAAATATAATTTAATGAAAAATTATATTAATGAATATTTTTATAATTTAAAAATAATGTTTATGAACCGATTTAAGAAATCATCATATATTAAAAAGAAAAAATCGATTATTTAAAACTAGTAATGCAAAGTATTTTTGAGTAACCAATATACATGATCACTACTATACGATTTCTTTAGAATAAGGATAAGATGACGCGTAAAGAAGGAAGCGGGACAATGCACGCTGAGCGGAAGTGAGAAACCACTCGTTGCAAATGGCAGACGTATAATATTCTCTACTTATTTTTCTGGTATAACTGCAGCAGTGAACTATAATTATTTGTAGCTGTGTATTGTAGTATCTTTTGAGATTGAATATTGTTGCATACATAATTCTTATTAATAGTAGAATTCAACAGCGATGGCGAAACTAGTGGACGTTTGGCGGGATGATTACCCGGTCGATATGACGCGAAGACAAATGCCATTGATAGTCGATGAAAATCTTACGGTGAGTACAATTTTTTTTTTGTCATTTTTCTTAAAGCATAGTTTTTGACTATTAAAAGCTAAAAACTTAAAAAAACTTACGTAATAGCTTTCCATGATATTTCTGACTTAACCTAACAACATGACAATGAATGCATGCTTATACCATAACTAATTAGAAGTATCATGGTATCTATATTTTGCTTACTAGTTGCTGATTATTGACATTATACGAATTCAAAATTTTCGATCTTCATTTGTATATATGTGATTATCATAATTTTAAAATCATTTGTTTTCTTTTTGAAAAAAAGAATGTCAAAGTTGATTTGTTTTTTTTTGCACTTTAATTAAATGAACAAATGATATAAGAATTTGAATAATAAAAAAGATATATGTATTTTTATTTTATAAGAAAGTATAAAACAAATATGCAATTTTACTAAAATATTTATATATATTTTTTAATAATATATATTTAATTTATTCAATAATTTCATACATAGTTTAAATTTTCTATATAAAATTATGTATATATATATATATATATATATATATGAATTATGTTATAAATTATATTTGAGTTATTACAAGTATTTTCTTAATATTAAAATAATATATATGAATTTAATTTAATTAATAAAATATAATGTAGTCTTTACTTTTATGTAGATGATTATGGACATAAATGGTTTAGGAGCAATCTGTGATAGTCCATTAGTTTGTGGTAAAGAACTTGATGAATTTACCAGAAAATTTAATATGCTTACAAAAGAAGAAATAAAAGCTTCATTTGAAGTAACATGCAAGGATATGCTTGCAATTTTAGGTCAAGCTGTACCTTGTGTTGGTTGCAGAAGAAGGTATAATAATATATAAATAAATATATTCATATAATATTATAATCTTATATTAATTGATTTTTTTATATATTTAGTGTTGAAAGATTATTTTATGCTCTTATGAAATCAGGACACCCAGCATTAGATCCATTGGTGATTACATCTGAAGGTTTATTATCAATAAAGGATGATGTTTTGGAATCACCACAATTGCTTTGTACAATGTTGCAAGGGCATAGGTAATAAAATATGCATAAACATATATTTTTTTTTTCTATATATTTTTAATATTTTTTATATTTATTATATGCACAGTACTAGATTAAATAGTTTAGTTGAAGGCCAACCCAGAAATAAAAAATCAAGAAGATGTGTACTACATTCATTAGAAATTCAACGTATGAGACCTCCTCCAAGTGCATGGAAAGAAGTATGGGACTGTATGGATCATTCATGTCGTTTAGAACTTGCTTTGATAGAAAGTAATACCCTTGAGGCTACTTTGGATACATATTTACGTAAACATCGGTAGGTTCATAAATTTTTATGATTTTTTATAAAAATCTTGTATTATATCTACTATTACAGATTTTGTGGTGAATGTCGTACAAAGGTATTGCTAGCATTTTCTTTATTAACAACAGAGCCCGAACCAGAAAAAGAAAAAGGTTATGTTGCTTCTTTATATGCTGGAATCAGACGTTGTATACGTGATAGACATGTACATATACCTACAAATCCACTTTATATGGGTAATCTTATTGGCCGTACACAACCAGAACTTATGGGAAGGTAATATAATAATTATAATATTATTATAGAATGGAAATTATTATAGAAATATAATTATATTTTTATTTTTTCAATAAAATATAAATATAATTTTTTTATTTTTTCAATAAAATATAAATATAATTTTTAAATTATAGAGAACGACATGCGAAAACGTTGGAAATTGCTCAAGAAGAGGTACTTACATGTTTAGGAATGTGTGTTGCTGAACGTTTACATAGAGTTCATAGACGATTAAGAGAAGAAGAAACTGTATGCAAAGTGTTAGCTGCTGTTGCAGTAGATGCATTATCTAGAAATTTTCAAGTATATTATTTATTTTGATAATAACTATATTAATAGAGCTACTTATAAATTACTTGATTACTTGATTTTTTACAGATGGCTGTAGAAGTTAAACAAGGTATTTCTCAATTAGAACTTCTCTATGAAGAATTAACAAGAGAAGAGATAGCAAAACAACAAAGACGAGAAAAGTTACGTTTGAAACGTAAAAAGAAGAAAGAACGACGATATGAGACAGAAGAAAAAGAAAATACATGTGATGTATGTTATTATTTGAAAATTAAAATTTTCAAAATTTATATATTTAATATTCTTACATAAGTTAATTATTATTAGTGTTCGAGCAAAAAGCAAAGTGGTAATAGTGATACATCTTGTGTTTGTGCGGATTCAAAACCCACAACACAAAATATAGATCAACATAAGGTAACTAATATTGTATTTCATTATATATATATAAACATATATATACACACACACATAAATTATACATAATTAATTATATTTTTTTTAGTTACAAGTATTAGATCCAAAAAATAAGGGACCACCTACATGTAAATGTCCAGATTGTGTAAAAAAATCAAAATCTAGTATATCACGATCACAGAGTCAAACACAATTAGCATTCCCAAAAAAATCATCGAATGTGCAAAAAACTACAATTAAAAAGAGTTCTTCTGAATCAAAGACCAAAATTTCTACAAATCAAATTAAAAAAACAGTTGTTAAAAATTTTTCTGAAGAAGAATTATTTGATGCATGTGAATCGTGTAAGGTAATAATTTAATGTGTTAATACATGCTCTACACAATTTTTAACGTACGTTATAAGATTTAACTATCATTCAATGTATAGTGTGACCTTTCGGAAAAAATTGAAAATGACCATTGGCATAATTTAGAAGACTGTAAACATCCAATGACTAAAAAAATAGTAGATGCTTGGATCGGAAAGCCAAGCAAGAGATGCAATATGTGGATAGAAATGAAAAAACGCTTTGAATTATCTATCTCAGAAAGAAAAAGTCGTTCTTCAAGCGAGCAATCATCACAAGATTGCGGTTATTCATCGGAACATAATATTAGTAGCTCTTCTCTTCCTAGTACTCCAGAAGGATCTGAAGTAGCTTGTAGTGATGGATGTTGTAATCATGAGAGAGATATACGGTCATCTGATAAACTTGTTCATTCCAATTCTAGTATCTCATTGTTAAAAGAAAGAGGTGGAGGTTTAACACTTACCCAAATGTTAGAAGTAAGATCATAATTCATTATGATTAAAAAGGTTTTTATTCGAGGATTATTATTTAATAATTTAATTTTGTTTTTAGGATTCTTATTTATCTGGTGATGAAGAAAAAGAAAGTTATATTCCAGCTGAGGAAGTATTGGAATTTAAGTCTCGAATGTGCCAAGTTCTTGAAAAACGACAAGAATTACGTCAAACATTGAGAAAACGTTTTGCTATTTTATGCAGTCATCATAAACCCTTTACCATTCCTAATTAAGAATTCCTAATAGATATGGTTACTTAATAGGATACAATCTTTCTTTTTTACATTGATTTACTGCCAGTAGAGAAACAGGAGTGCAATAGATGTATTTCGGATAACTATTATCATTGGATGTCAACCTTCCTCAGAATAAAATATCATTGGAGATGTACTACATCGTAAGAACATCATATGGTATGGTTTATCTGTAAGCAAAGAATTACATCTAATAAATTAGAGGTACCAAGAAACAATTATGCCTTGAATTTTGTTGTTTCTTATGCAGTTGAATTTATAAAAATAAAAGACATTTGTAGATGAAAATATAATTGTAAATGAACGAAATCAGAATTTATAGTCAAATATTAATTCTGAAAACTGGATTTAAGAAAAAGTAAGTTATTAAATTAATGCACAAATATGGTCAGTGATCAGAATTAAATGAGACTGATTTCCATATGTTTGTTATAATTAAATAATAATTTTTGGAAGCATGTATTGATTGTAAAAACATGCCAAATTACAATCATCTGCACGTAGCAAATAATTATTGTATAAATTACTATATACCTTTAAGAGGATTTTATTTTTTTGAAAGCAGAGATTTAGATTTGTTTTCCTGCAAAATGAATGTAAATGTTGTAATAATGATATGAGCGGAAAATATTAAAAATTAATACAAAATATATATTGTATTCCATTATGTACTATATTATTTCAAATTACAGCTTTTTTGTACAATAATATTATATAAAAAATTTTGCTTTTTTTTTTATATGATATATTACACGAAAAAATTTACATAAAAGTATTAAAAATATTTGAACTATTATATTTAAGCTCTATATGAAAATCATTTAATAGAAGCACTGGCACTTTGTTATAAAAAAGTAAAATTATGCATATATATTTTCTTTAGATATTATATATATATTGATTAATGTATATGAGGAATGACTAGTTTGGATTATGTTGTATATTATTATGCTTTTTTCAAACTAGTTCTAGTAATCAGTTTATTCATTATATTGGGCAAAGCATAAGCATGCATTTGTTCCTCCAAAGCCAAAAGCATTTTTTAAAGCTACACGTCTAGAAACTGTATTCCAATTTTTCTTTACATTAGGAGCAAAACTTAAGCTTGTTTTTGTGTCTAATTTATGTAAATTTAATGTTGGAGGAATGATACCCTCTTTTATTGCTAAAATAGTAAAAACAGCTTCTAAGTTTCCTGCTGCTCCTAATAAATGACCATGAGCACCTTTTGTACTAGAAACTGTTATATTTTTACTGTGGTGACCCATAAATGATTCTATAGCTTTTAATTCAATGCTATCACCTAAAGGAGTCGAAGTTGCATGTGCATTAATAAAACTAATTTCTATGGTTTTTATGCCAGCATCTTTTACTGCTCTATCCATAGCTAATATAGCACCAGTGCCATCTTCACTAGGTGCAGTTAAATGTGCTGCATCACCAGATAAACCATATCCTAATACTTCTGCATAAATATTAGCTTTTCTTTCAAGTGCATGATTTAATTCTTCTAATACTAATATAGCAGCACCTTCTCCCATAACAAATCCATCTCTATCTTTATCAAACGGTCGTGATGCTTCATATGGAAAATCATTTTTATTAGTACTTAATGCACGAAGTCTACAAAATGCAGCTATAGCAAGAGGACTAATACATGCTTCTGCTCCACCACATATCATTACACTAGTTTCTCCACCACGAATAAAACGAAATGCATCACCTGTAAATTAAATATATTATATTTTAATCATAATAAATACATAAACAATTTTTTCAAATTTGTTAGAAATTATAATACCAATTGCATGTGCTCCAGTTGCACATGCTGTTGAAACAGAATGATTTGGACCACGAAAACCATATTTAATACTAATTTGTCCTGCAGCCATATTTGGTAATATTCTTGGTACAAAATAAGGACTAACTTTATTATATCCTTTTTTTAAAGCTTCATATGTTGCACATACATCAATTAAATCTATCATTCCAATTCCTACTGCTACTCCTGTATCTCTTTTATCAGTTTCATCTTTTGGTTTCCAATTTGCATTATTTAATGCTTCTTCAGTAGCTATTAAAGCATAGGCAGTAGCAGGACACATTGTACGTAACTCACTTTTTGTAAAATATGAATCGATATTTAATTCATTAGGATTATTTCCTTTGGGTATTAATGCACCTAGAATTATTAATTATTAATTATTAATAAGAATTATTAATTATTAATAAAATCATCAATTTGTTTAAAAAGTCAGATTTATAAAATTCTTACCGACTTTGCAAGGTAATTTGTCATACTCTGGATTAATCAACTTAGTGATACCTGATTTAGAAGTAATGAGAGCTTGCCAAGCATTCTGTGTACCAATTCCAAGAGGAGATACTACTCCTAATCCTGTAACTACAACTCGCCGTTTGCATCTTGCAGCGGTTGTTAATGTACGATTAATAATAACAAACGAGATAAACATTTGACCGGTAATAAATATTTTAAAATATATTAAGGTTATATCTTATTATATCATCACTTCTTTTATGAAAAAAACTCAATAGATATATATTAAGTTTTATATAAATATCTTTTTACTTTCATTTTAGATATAATATTTGAAAAAAAATACAAATATACAATTTTCTTTTAAAAATATGTAATGGAAACATTATTACATAAAAATATAGATTAGTTACTAAAACTTAAATAGTATGGCGCTAAGATCCATAGTCCCTAGTAGTATTTATTTAATCGTAACTTCATAAAATAATTAGTTTTGTATATATTTTATACAAAATGTACAGTTAATTTTTTATAAAGATAAAACAAGTCATTTTATATGTATAATACTGAAATGGATATATATATGAATATATATACGTGTGTGTGTGTGTGTGTGTGTGTGTGTGTGTGTACATATGTATATTTATATTTTAAGGATATCATTAAGATATACTTTTTCTTTTTAATAATTATTGGAAACAATATTATTTGAATATCATCACATTATTATTATATAACCAATGTTTTAATTTATATTTAATTTTTATATTTTTATATATATTAAATATTTTAAAAAATATTTTATTTTATTATATTCAATTTTTAGAAGTTCTTTTTATATTAGCAATCAAATTTTTTATAAAAGTTGTTTTAATATATAGTATGTATTGTAATATTGAATTTTGTAACTGGAATTATATATAATTTAGTAATGTATTTGTTTAATATTTTTAACATAACTAATAATAAAATATTTAAATAGATGAATTTTAATAATTTATTTTCAATGATATAAAAAAAGTTATATTAAAATATTTTTTATTATTTAAATTTATTAAAATTAATTAACTGGTACTTGTTGTATCAACTGAATATATAATTAAAAATAAATTTAAATTTTCTGATTTAAAAAAGTTTGGATATGATTGTACTTCAATATGGCGAACCGCGACAAAGGACGCAGAAAGTGGGGAGGATTTTTACAAGGTACCCTGAAAAAATTATATCACTGAATAATATAAGTATCTTAATTTGCAATCTCATGATTATATTTTATGTGTACGTAGTTAATAAACACGTATGCCCCTTTCAATTTTGTTGGGTGCATTTACAGAGTTAACCTCACCAAACAAGCTAACCTAAAAATACAGCGGGAATTATTATGCTGTGATATGTTGTGAAATTTACCAGAGTAAGAAGTAAATTTAGCATACACTATAATTTCTATTAGATTTTTCTAGAAATTATAAATTTATTTCAAATAATTAAAGATTATATAATTTTTATTTCTAATTTTCATAGATTGATAGTAACTGTAGTTACTGTCAAGAGTGTCAACAATCACTATTAAGTTATTATACTTAATAGAGTATTGTATTTAATTGATAATAATACTTAATTACTCTATACAAATAAATATTATATTATTTAATATATCAAATATTAAGTATATAAAGAAAGACTATTAAAAATATAGATATTGTACATATAATTAATTTTTGATGAATTTTATAATAAAAATTAATTTTTGACTCGTGCTACAAACACATTTAACTTATTTATTATATAAAATAAAATTTAATAAGAAAAGAATGTATTTATTTATTTATTTTGTATTTATTTTCTAATTTATTTATGATATAATATTACTTAAGTATATATAATATTACTTATCTTTTTTTTTAAGATTTATTATAGATAATAATTATAAAATTTAGCAGTTTTATTATTCTAAAAATTTTCTAAAAAATTTTTTTTATTTTAAACAATGATATTATCATAATACTATATTAATAAGTACTTATTAATTTATAATATAATTTTTGAATGTATGAACATTTTGAACAATTTTTGAACATGTTTTAAATTAAATTAAATGAAATTTTTATGTAAGTAAATGTAATATATATCATTTATTATAATAAATATAAAATTATACTTTTTGATGAATTTACAATATATTAAAATGTATCATTATTCATAATGAATAAATTTAAAAATTAGAAATTTTATACTTTCAGATAATTCAAAATTAGAAAAGGACAGATCAATGGGAATGAGAGGTGGAGGAAATAGAGCATCTCAAGCTTTATATAGGCCAGGAAGTGGACCTCTTCGAAAATCGGGCAGATCTTCAGATGATTTAGATAACGAAAATATCTCACAAGAAAAACCTAAATCAAGCTCCGTCCAACATCGCTTAAAACAATCACAACTCAATAGATCTAATCAATCTCAAAACAGTCCCCCATCATCTCAAGTTGAAAATGTAACAGAAAAATTGAATGATTTAAATATTAACTACAGAAGCATTACAAATATTGAACAGGCACAAAGTTCTTCTCAAAATAATCCTGGAGATTCAAGAAGAAAAATTAAAAAACCAGAACAACAATTATATGTACCAAAAAAAGTAAAAGAAGCATTGGCTGAACAGGATGTAACAAATAGGTAAATTCTATAAAAAATATTTTTGTTTTATTATTAATGAAGAATTACAGATTGAATAAAAATATTGTTCACATCTCTTAGATCTCCCAATCAAGGAAGTTGGGAACGGGATCAAGAGAGAGAACATAGTGAAGATCGTGATTCTCATTCCAATCGTAGTCATAAAAGCGATAATCAACGTAATCGGTCGAGTGGTCATACTAGAAGAGATAGTGAAAGTGGAACTAAAAATCGAGATGAACATGGTAAAAGATATTCGGGTAATCGTAGAAATCGTCACGGTAATGAAAATGAAGAACGTTGGCGATCTGATTCTCCTTTATCTAATAGAGGTTATGGAAATAGAAAAGATAATTCTCGTGAAGTTAGACAGGTTTGGAATGTTAATATTTTGTATTATATAAATAATTTTTTATGTGACTAATTTCTAATATTTATTTATTTAGGGCTCAGAACCTCTTTTTGTAACAACGAATCATTTAAATGATTTTAATCGCACTAGAGATACACGTAGTGTAGAACCTGCTGGACATGCAGAAAAATTTCAAGGCAAGCCACCATCAGGCAAATGGGGTAGTGCAAAAGATAATTTGCCAAAAAATATAAAAATAGAACACTTACCACCCAGATTGCAGAAAAAATATCTTTTGGATAATGGTTTACCTTTACCACCAAGTTCATCACCTTCAGAAGATTCATGGAGTATTAATGTCTCATTTCAGGTAAAATTAATTTTATTTTAAAAAATATTTGTTCATCTTTCAAATAAGATTTTTTTATATCTTAGAAGTATTAATTATATTTTTAAAGGCATCATCAAACTATAATTTCCCACCTGCAATACAACATTCTCAAACAATGCAAAATTTACCTCCATCTGGTCCATTACCTCCACAATCTAACTGGTCTAATACAGCACCATCGCGAACTAGAGGTAGAGGTAGACTTAGACCGGAAGATTTAGAAAGTTCAACAAACATTTTTAGGTGTGTTACACCTGATCAGTATTCAGCTCCAAGTTCCAGATCTCATACACCAAGTCAAGAATATATGCAAAGGTATATAAATGTATATTATATTATATATATAATGTATATAATATATATATAATATATATATATATATATATATATATATGTATATAATGTATATTATATATATAAATGTATATTATATTATATTAAATTATTAATATTTAATTTATCATTATTATATATGATACTAATTTAATAATTAATTTATTAAAAATAGATCTTATGATCGTCGTGGCAGTAATAGTACTATGTACACTAGTATGGAAAGTTTAAGTCGAGTAGACAGTTCAGTACTGCCATCATCAGCATCGCCAGTTATCTCAGTGTCAAATGTGAACAAACGTCAAACATCACCCGAAAATCATCGTCGGGGAATATCTCCATCTGCGACTTTACATCGTACTCAAACGTAATGATTTGTTTAAAATAAATATTTGATGTTTAAAATATATTTTAATTATTTGTTTTCGATTTTTTTTAAGGCAACGAGTAAATAATACATCTGATCGTAATATAATACAAGAAAAGAAAAACGATCAACAAAATTCAAGTATCAGTTCATTAAAAAATGAAATTGTTAATATTACATCAAATATATCGGCTGAACATCCATTCGTAAGCGTTTTATTTAAATGCATTTATTATTTATGCTTAAATAATATTATATTTAAGATTTTATTTATAATATATAGGATTGGAGTGAAGAAGTAGAATTAAGTGAAAAACTAGAAGCTGAGCGTGCAAGTCGTAGTTCATCTGTACTGAGTTTACGTGAAAATGTTAATGTATCAGGAAATGAAACAACAAGTAATCATAGTCGACGTAAAAAAAAAAAGCGTGAAAAGAAACATGCAGCAGATCGTGGGAGGTAAGAGTCATCAGAATTTATATTTTTTATTTTTTTTTACACATTGAAAATTCTATCTATAATAAATTTATTTATTTATTTTTTTTATATTTTTTAAGAAGTAACAGCAGAGATAAAACTCGTGTTAATAGTCGTGATCGACAAAACAATCAACAAAATAGAGAAAATGATAACTATAATAATAATCAAAAGAATAGTAGCAATAGTAGGAGATACGATCATAGAAGACATCGCAATATTATACAGCGTAGCCGAGAATCTAGTAAAGATAGAAATTATCGTGGTGGTAATCGAAACTTTGATGACCTTCATAGACATAGGTATAAATGAATTTAAAACTTGTGCTTATATTCACATTATTTAAAACTTATTATTTTATTGATGTGTGATTTTCAGATTATCTGATCGATATTTAGATGAAAATTGGAGAACAGGTAGAAAAATGTCAATTTGTGACTCTGACGATGGACGACAAACACCTAATATTTCTTCTCATTCTATCTCGTTGTCAAATACATTATCCACACATCAAACATCACCTAGTGGATATACCAGTTCTCAACCACCAGGTGTTTTAGTGTTACCCGATACTAGCCAATCTCCGCCTAGTCACCCAGTTTCGAGGCAACAAGGAACACAACAGCAAAGAACGTTATTTGATCCCAATAATCCTAATAAACCTATTGTTATTACTTCACCCAGTAGTAGAGCAGTAGTA